GTGTGTGTATATATATATAGATGGATTATGTACTGTGTAATAATTTACGTATTCACTATGCGGAAGGTATTTACTGTATTTCAAATTGCAGTTATAGTATATATATCTTATAAACATCCACTCAGCACACCGGCGGGTTCATTAAGGGAAAATTTGGTATATGTTATGTACTCCGTAGTTTTGGTCTATATATAGATTCGGTTTAGACCAGAGGAATTCGAAATCCGGCCTTCAGGCAGAGTTTATGCGAATCCAGCAAGCAAAAACAATACGCAATCGCGCCTAATATATTTGGATAGCGAGATTTACTGGTAATATACCGGCGTGAAGTATGTCGTGGTTGCAAATACATGTGTTTAAGTCTTTCACATACGCACATGAGTAGCGGGGATAACAGAGCAATTCAGCCGTCAGTATCTTCAAGTACACGGAACATTAGTATATGTAATATTGCAGGTCTTTTGCAGTAGTTAAGAACAAAAATCCAGTCGTAAATAGCTTATACATACACACGGAATCACAGATCCATACATATGAAATGTCGTTTAATCCCCTAATAAAACCTGCAAATAGCACTTTTCTTTTGGTATTTTACAAAGGAAGTACTCCAGCGCTTAATTTCGGGGGTGGGGGGTCTTTTTTGGGCCTAAACAGACCTAACTTCGCATTTACTTACAAACCAACAGTCGCACAAATCGTATACAGTAAAAGGGTGTTGAAACGCTGCTGTCAAGGATGCGCCTTTAATAATCACGTGCAGCAGAGATTGTACAACAACACCGCTGCGGGCAGGGAGCAGAACTCTATCCTGGCCAGTACAGTATCACTTCCCCGTCTTCCGCAGACTTCCTGGGTCTCTCCATTGGTCGGCGATTTATCGTTCGGATCCCTACCCTTACACACATGTGCATGGGCGGGTCCGCGGGATTTCTTAGTGATCGTCACTTGGCACTGCGAGTCGTCAGAGAACTGTACGTCCATACCGCACAGCGGTATACGTTCGAGTATCTTTAAACGGACGTGAGGCTCCATCTTAATAAATAAAGCAATGGAACAGAGATAGAAAGTTGAGTCCATGAGTAAGTAGCCAGGAATATACTTGGGTTGAAGAAGAAGGAATGTGGCGTACAAACCGTCAACACTTAACACAAGCCTACAACCCATCGAGATGAAATGGGCGGCC